CGCCGTTGGCGTGTTCCGCCGGCCACCACGGCCAGAGCTATTTCGGCTTCTCAGACCTTCAACGCAGAGACATGGCATAGGAGAGATAAAGCGCAAGGTTCCTAAAAGGCTGGTGTTACTCTTGCTCACCAAGATAGAAGTCCTAGACCCTGAAAAGGTGGGAACCAACCCTGCTCTTCAGTGCAGTCAAGAGAGAGAGAGTAGCAAAGCAGCCGACCCAGCAAGAGCATGAAGGTGAGGAAGCCGGGCAGGGCACTTGTGTAAGACGGGGTTGGTCTGTACAGGAGTGGGTTTGAGTGCAGCAAAGCTTTTGGCTAAACCAAGGCTGTTGTGTAGACGGGGCGTCAGCCCTAGAAAGCCCTTGTAGCACATTCATGGCGAAGCAACGGCGGCAGAAGAAAGCTTAGACAACAGCAAGCCAGCTAGCCAACCAAGAACGTGAAGCGCAGGACGCAGTGGAGCAAACAAGAACACGCGCACGGTGTGCAAGGCGGGGGCAGAGACGAACCCAGCACATTGCAACGAAAGACACAGAGGAAAAATACGAAGAGAAGACAGAAAAGATTGTGTTGCGTAAGCGGGGTTTGGGTTGAAATTGGGGGAGGGCGGGGTGGGTTCAAGTTAGACGGGGCAAAAATCCGCGCCAAGGGAAAGTCTAGACAAAGACAAAAGACTAAACAAACAGTACAACTACGAACAAGCAAGATCCACAAGACACGCCGGCAGGCCGGCGGATATACATACATAAATTAAATACCTATGTACATGTGTACATGTACGGATATGTATATCCATAGATAAGTGTATATCTATATACGAAGAAGCGAATGGGAAAAGCAAGGATTTCTACGAAGCATAGCTGGGATGCACACCCAATGTTTTTAAGAGGATCGTCTGCATAGAGCACAGGATCTCTGGATGCGGTTTTCACTGGTGTGCCATGAGCCGAAGTACTTTGAGAACTGGGGACCATCGAAATCTAAGAATTGGAGGTCTCCAATTTGAACAGGCGTCCCGCAGATTGAACAGCTGAAAAGCAGGGGGTTGGCAAGATCTGTGGAGTGTAACACTGCAACCTGGAAGAGTTCGAATCTCAGCCGAAATCCATGGGGGGTGAGGAAAAAAAAGAACTGTCTAAGGGAACTCACCTGCAGATACCCTCTGGTAAACTAACATAACTATGGAAAATCACCATTTTTAATGGGTAAATCCACTATTTCTATGGCCATTTTCAATAGCTATGTTAAATTACCAGAGGGTACTTGTACATCATTTTGAAACTTGGCCAACCACAACGGGTCGGGTCCAAAGGGTACCCGCGGCGACATAGAAAAAAACGGCTGTCGGGACCACAGCCCTGTTGCTGTCAGTTAGGTCAGCGGTACTGAGACCCAGATGCCATGACCAAAAGCTGCGGATTTTGCATGTGAAAGGCCGTGACTATGGCGACAGTGGCGACCCAAAGTCTTTAACCATAGAGCTTTGGTGGTTCGGAATGCTCAACCATTCTTTTGGAGGTTGGAACATACAGAGATTTTAACAGCAGCGAAAAAACCGGTTATAACCAGCGAGATTCTATGGCAGGGATCATCCTTTGGTCCATTTTGAAGGACCAAGCGACTTCCCGACTTCGTGACGTGTTGGTATCAGCTGCATGGCTTCCAACACTAACCTCAAAAATCACCAGTTTTCACAGGGGATGTCCCTCATTCTTGTGGCTAAATCTCCCGCATTTTGTTTCGTCAAACCATCGTAGAATCACCTCATTTTGGATAAGTTTTTTCCCGAACATCATTTGGGTTAATCTGAAAATAGGCTACCCCCAATTCCAATGGATTCTCACCATTTTTCGTAAATTCACTGGGGGCCTTTTCACTGGGGGCATCCTCCCATCCCCAAAATTAAAATGGCCGGCCAAGTTAATGTGTTTTAATGGGGGCTCCTAAATTTTGGCCAAGTTGATGGTAGATTTACCTTGCAGGAGCGGTTTGCCGGCGGCGCTGTACAAAGTGTTGCAGCTCTACAGTCACCAGGTAAGGAGCAGTATGAAGTTTCCGGCGGGCAAAGTCACTGGGGTGTTAAATGGGACTTTATGGGAAATGAATGGGATATGAATGAGACAAATGGAGGTTCAATGGGGTTTAATGGGATTTTGTGGGATTTTATGGTGTTTAATAGGGGGGTTTAACATTATTTAAGCAGCAAGAATGAGGATCTAAATAGGAATTACCCTCCAACAAACAGTTTGCGAACTGGAAGCCATGGCCCATTTAGTCCGATGGTAAAAACATATGATTTTCCATAGCTCTGGTCCTGCAACCTGATCGAATCCATTTTTTTTTTTAAAGGGCTATGTTGCTCAATGATGCTCACCTGGGCTGAAAAACCAGTAATCAACCTGCCTGGGCTGGATTTCCCAGCTTGTTGATGACAGGAAGTGTCCAGCTGATCACTATTATTCATATAGGAACATTCACAAAAAACATTGTGATATCAAACAACAATGATGCACATGGATGTATACGTATATGTATATATATAATATGCATATATATATAATATGATTACATGTATATGCAGCCAATCACCCACATGGTTCCAACACAATAGTTCGTCTTTCTAAGATTAGTGAAAACCCTAGACAGCCAGGCTTCCTGCTCGTAAAGTAGACCATTGTTGGTAGCGTATTTCTGGGAAACACCTATCATGTGTTTATGCCTGTAGACCTAACAGCGAAGACCCACCTGGTCGCACAGACGAGTTGGGTACACCCATGGAGACAGGTCGAACGCAGGCCCAGATTGCTGATGCTGTTGGCTTCTCAGAGGGTTATTCATGGCCTATAACTCCAATAACTTGGGATATAACCCCCCAAGTCATCATGGCTTTTTTAGCCAACTTATACAGTGGAACTGCAGCCCCGTTCATACCCATGGGTCGAGAAGGTGGATTCCACCCATGATACATCTACGGTTGGATAGGCTAAACATCCAACTCATAGTGAACGCCGGGGCACCACGTTGTGGCAGGAAGTCCCGGGCTGCCCTACTCATCTTTTCAATGGGAGGAATATCCCCTGTAAATGGAGGTTTTGATGGATCTTCCCTTGCAGCTTTGATTGCTAGATCTGATTCGTCAGTTGATATCAGAGGTTTTATTCCCGATTCTGAGTTGTCTACCTGATATATCTCAGTTACTATTGCCGCGAACTTCTGGGATGATGACAGCACCCATGGATACACCATCAAGATCAGAGGTCGGCAGAGGTTGCCTCTCTCCACTGCACCAACCATCCTATTTTTGGATGTTTTCGGTTTCGTGCGTATTGTTCAAGACCTTTGGTCTCCTACGGAAGATGGTTCAGTTCCAATCATGACCAGATGTAGTTTTGCTGTTGCTATGCCAGTTTTGGTTCCAGTACCCTGAGTTCTTTTTCGAAATTTTGGGGAGTGGGTGTGTCCTAGTTTGTGGTTGCAAACATGACCAAAATGACCAACATCTGTGGTTGATTGACCCTGGAGTTTACCCTTTGAATTCTCGAAGCATCTTCAGCATCCCAAATTCCCAGACATACCAAACCACCTCAAACTGCCAGCTACACACCCATTGATGCTAGGGTTTTCAATTGCCAGCCCTAAGGATCTTCA